GAGCTCTCTCTCCATCGCTACTCTCATTCTATCTCTCTCCCTCTCTACCTCTCTATCTATCTCTGTCTTGCCTATGTGCTTGTCTGTCAGTCTGTCTACATTGCTCTTTGCTTTTCCGTGTCTATCTATCAAGTTTATTGGTAATGGTAGTGTTAGAGTTCTGGTGACATTTGGGGGGCAATAGTTGGGTTAACGTTCGGTGATGTGGTTTTGGGAGTAATGGGAATATTAGGGATGAAGTAATTTGGGGAGTTTTAGGGTCGATGGCACAACCACGATTGCCACTACATGATTCTTTCCCGGTAGAAGCAGGGCTACGTGTCAAAGAAACATTACACCGCATTTTATAGGACTGTGTGCGGAGAGCGAACACACACCATTAAACGCACCTATTATACGCCCAGTCACGAGAGTAGAGAGTATGCGGGTATGCGAGTATGCGAGTATGCCTGTACAGCTATGGGAGGTTTCCCGTGTAATGTAGATACAGCCGCGTGCGAGTGTGTAATTTTGGTATTAGTCGAATTGCGCGCAGCGACAAAGACGTCCATTCACGTGGAGCTGCCACGAATTTGATGCCGATTTGAGCACGAAAGTCAAACAAATTGACCCCCCGAAAGGCAATGCTGGAGAACAGGTTTCGAGCGCCTAGGGATATTATGACGGTGGTTCTGTTGGTGAAAGGGTTGAGCGGTGTGTAGCCAGGATCGTGACTACAGTAACAACTTCTCAAAGTTAAACGGACTCGGCGTATATGATCTGATTTGTGCGGCGCCGCCTAAATTTCAGGTTTGCTCAGAAAAAAACCCAGCGGAGATGCTCTATGCAAATATGATTGTCACTCTATGAGAACCAATTCTCAAAAGAGTCATAGAAAAAAAAACGTGGCACAATCTTAGCATGCTTTGTCTGATACTATAAAATAATAATAGGAGTATTTATATCGTACTTATAGTGTATTTATATGTTCGTATTTCCACATAATTATAACGCATAGTACGTGTATTTAGTTAGTCTACACGCATGCAGTCAGTATAAAGATGGTGGGAAGCATTGTCGGTCCTGTTTTTCTTCAAAAGCGTTATAAGACAAATTGCTAGTGTTGTAACATATTAGCTTTTATTTTTTTTTCAGCCTATATATATATATATAAGATATATATATATATATATATATATATATATATATA